GGGGAAGAGGGCCAAACGAGAGGGAGGATGAAAGGGGAGAGGGACGAGGGAGAGGGCGGAGGGCATTGCACTGCCGGAGTCCAGCTGGTGGGGCGAGCTGCCAAGCTGCACTGCCGGCGGCGTGTCCTTCGGGTCAAGCGAGGCCAGAGTGTCGAGGCCGTCGGCGTCGGGGTGGCCGTAGGCTTTGCCGCAGCGCGGGCAGCGCAGCGTCGTCCCGACGCGCGCCGGCGTGCACGGCGCGACGGCCGCGCACGTGCAAGGCCACTCAGAGAACAGCACCTCGAGCTGGAACGCCGTCAGCCCGCCATGCCGCTGCCCACCCGCCGGAGAGGAGGCGCGCCCGCGCGCTCGAGGCTGCGGCGCGGGTGCGACGAGGCGGAGAGTGGAGAGGGAGGCAGGAAGAGAAAGTGGGATGTGGGGGAGACGGGCGAGGGCGGAGCAGGCGTTTCCGTCGCGCCCCCGCGTTAGCGTGTCAGCGGCAAGTGCAAAGAGGAGCCGTCGCCGCCCCGTCCGCACCTGCCGGAGGCCTCTGCTCTCAGACGCTGGCCCTGCCCCCGTGGCCCCCCCTCCCAGAGGCCGCCGAACGTCTCGGGAGAGACGTCCCAAACCGAGCCTCTACCCCAGCGAGCAGGGAGCCCAGGTGCTCACGCCAGCGAACTCGGTGAACGCCTGCAGGACCTGGGACATGCTCAAGTACATGTGGTCGCCCGCGTTGGTCTGCCGCGCGCACTCCGCCACCTGGCCGGCAGCGGCAGACTGCTTGGCAGACTGCTCCGTCTCGTTCAAGGTGCGGCACATGGTCCACTTGGGCCGAGCCCACCGGCGGCGCCGGGCCACCTCCGACTCAGCGTCGTTCGAGTGGGAGCCGGTCTTCTTGTTGCAAAACTCCTGGGGCGAGGGAGGGATGGAAGAGGGGGGCGCGGGGTGGGGGGGCGCGAGGGAGGACTGGATTTGGAGGAAGCGGGGGGGGGTTCAAGTTCAGCTGCAGCTTGAGGAGGGAGCCTGTTGAGTGCTGGGTGTGGTGCTGGAGACGAAGGCCGTCGAGTGCTGGGTGGTGTGTTGGAGACGGGGGGAGTTGAGTAACGGGGCTGTTTCAAGTTCAGCTTGGGGAGGGGGCCTGTTGAGCGCTGGGCGCGGCGCTGGGGACGAAGGCTGTCGAGCGCTGGGTGGTGCGCTGGAAACGGAGGGAGTTGAGTAACGGAACTGTTTCAAGTTCAGCTTGGGGAGGGAGCCCATTGAGTACTGGGTGTGGTGCTGGAGACGGAGGCCGTCGAGTGCTGGGTGGTGCGTTGGAGACGGGGGGAGTTGAGTAACGTGACTGTGTCAAGTTCAGCTTGGGGAGGGAGCCCGTTGAGTACTGAGTGTGGTGCTGGATACGAAGGCTGTCGAGTGCTGGGCGGTGCGTTGAGTAACGGGACTGTTTCGAGTTCAGCTTGGGGAGGGGGCCTGTTGAGTACTGGGTGCGGTGCTGGAGACGAAGGCTGTCGAGTGCTGGGTGGTGCGTTGGAGACGGAGGGAGTTGAGTAACGGGACTGCGTCAAGTTCAGCTCGGGGAGGGAGCCTGTTGAGTACTGGGTGTGGTGCTGGAGACGAAGGCTGTCGAGTGCTGGGTGGTGCGTTGGAGTCGGAGGGAGTTGAGTAACGGGACTGTTTCAAGTTCAGGTTGGGGAGGGGGCCTGTTGAGTGTTGGGCGCGGTGCTGGAGACGAAGGCTGTCGAGTGCTGGGCGGCGCGTTGGAGACAGAAGGGGGACGGGAAGGACGCCTGGAAGAAGGAGGGGTGGGAGGAGGGATGGGGCACTGGCAGAAGAGAAGGAGGGGGGAAAGGGAGAAGGAGAAGAGGGGAGGGCAGAAGGAAAGGATTCCTTCTTGCCGTGGTTGCAAGAGCCCCCACGCTTGACGCCAGCGCGCTTGGTCGCCGACTCCGCGCCGAGCCGCCCGTCGCTCGCCGCCTTCGTGTGCGGGGTCAGACGGCGCTGGAACACCTCGGCAAACGCCTCGCCCCCGCGTGGTTTCTTCTCCTTGGCGGTGCTCGGGCGGTCAAGCGCCTCGCCGGCGACCCGCTTGGTTCCGCCCTTGCGGGGGCGCTTCCTCTTGCCACCAGTCTGAGCGCCGAGCCACAACCACCTGTTCTGCGACCGCTTGTCCGCGGTCGCCCCCCACTTGCCGGACTTCCTGCTGCCGCGCGGCCCTGCCTGGGGCCGAAAAAATGGGACGACGCGGGGGGTGGGGGAAGGGGGAAGGCCCGGGAGTAGGAGAGAGGCGCCTTAGCTTTGGCCTTCGGTTTGGCCTTCGCTTTCGCCTTCGGGCGGGGCCCCGGTTTTGAGGTGGCGCGGCAAGGAAGCCTCTTCTTGACGCGAGAGCCGCGGCCGCGGCGGTGCCCGGCAGCGCAGGGAGCTTTGCCAGCCACGCTGCCGAGACGCCCGATGCCAGCCTCGTCAACTGCGACGAACTCCGGACGACTGCTGGAGGAGCCACCCACCCGGTTGAGCCGCGGAACCTGTGCAGGCCAGCAGGCGGCAGTTGTAGCAGTAGTAGTAGTAGTAGTAGTAGTAGTAGTAGTAGTAGTAGTAGTAGTAGTAGTAGTAGTCGTAGTAGTAGTAGTAGTAGTAGTAGTAGTAGTAGTAGTCGTAGTAGTAGTAGCAGTAGTAATAATAATAGTATTAGTAGTAGTAGTAGTAGTAGTAGTAGTAGTAGTAGTAGTAGTAGTAGTAGTAGTAGTAGTAGTAGTAGTAGTAGTAGTGGTAGTAGTAATAGTAGTAGTAGTAGTTGTTGTAGTAATAATAGTAATAGTAATACGTACTAAAGGGGGTAGACGGCGGAATCGGCGGCAGCCGCTTGAATTCCGCGGTGCTCGACGTGCCGCGCCACGACCTCGCGGTACTTCTTCTCCACGCGGAAGACGGTGGAGTGGGCGATCTCGTGGAGGGCCCCGAGCTCGTGGACGACGGTCGCGATCTTCTCATTCATCTTCATGTGCACCAAGAAGTGCAAGAAAGCGAGCAAGTGCCCCAACCGGACGAAATCCTGCGACGGAGAAGAAGGAGGGGGAGGCGGAGGAGAAGGAGGAGGAGGCGGAGGAGAAGGAGGAGCACTCCAGCGCTGGCACCTGCGGGGACTGGAAGAAGTGCCCCTTGGAGTGGTTCTCGCAGCGCCGCCGAAGGAGCTTGCCCGAAGAAAGCTGGTCGAGTTCGCGCACCTTCTTGCAGTGACGGACCGCGCGGACCATCTTGAAGAACATGAGCACAGCCAGCGCGCGGAGAGCAGGGGTGGGCTCCGCCGAGTCGCCCCCCAGCTCGGGAGAGACCACCTGGGCGACGAAGACGGCGGACGAGTCGAAGTACTCCTCCCTCAAAGACTTCCGAAAGGTGTCGAGGTCCATCGCGGGTGCTCCGCGCCAGGCCAGGAAAGCTGCGTGGGAGATGGGAGACGCGTTCCAGCGCCCGTGAGAAGAGGGGCGAGAGGAACGAGGGAGAGGGAGGATGGGGAGGGAGGACGAGAGGAGGAGGTGAAGTGAGGAGGGATGGGGGGAAGGAGGGCGGGGAGAGAGGGGGACAGGGAGGCGCTGAAACGCGTCTCCCACGCAGCGTTCCTAGCCTGGCGGCCCTGGCCCTGCTGAGGAGGCGCCGCCCTGCGCCCCCTCCAAAGTGGTCCGGGAACCAGTGGCGCCGCCAAGAGAGAAGGACTTGAGCCAGAACGGCTGTGGTCGCACCGAGCGCAAGGCAAAGGAATGGTCGGGGGAGTTCCTGGGCGCCCAACACGCAATATGTTTGCGAGCGTGGACCCCAAACAGTGACTGTTCGTGTGTGCGTGTGTGTGTGCGTGTGTCAGCGAAGGCGGTTAATTTCGTATCGTATATGGGTAAAATCCATCCAAGATGGTCTCGATCCATTCAACATGAATATGATCCTTTCAAGATTCGTGGAACTTGAAACGCACGGCTCCTTCGGGGAACCAAAAGAAAATGTGGATGTAAAAAAAACCTGCGTGGGGATCTTGAATGGATTATACCCACGTGTATATATCCTAAAGCTAGACCCGGGAAAGATAGAAAGACGAGCAGGCTCACCGTTTTCATCTGTCGCCAGGCGTGTGGAAACTCCCGTGAGACCTGTCGATTCTCTGGCCCCTGTAGAAGACAGCGTCAGCGAGCTTTAGGAGAGAAGTCAAAGGGGGTAGGGGTGGGATGGTGGAGCCAAAAAGTCCGCGGAGCCCCAGAGAGACTGGAGAGACGAGCACAGGACTGGGCGCGTCTAGGCACCACTGGACAGACGAGGTGTTTCACCCTCTGCGGCTCAAACGCATTGGCAAGGAAAACCGTTCTGAGAACATGCAATCCTAAAGCTAGACCAGAGAAAGATAGAAAGACGAGCAGGCTCACCGTTTTCATCTGTCGCAAGGCGTGTGGAAATTCCCGTGAGACCTGTCGATTCCCTGGCCCGTACCCATTCCATGCACTGGGCCGCTATGCTATCAGTTCTTTAAGGTGCTGGAGGCCGTGCGAGTCCCTAGACCGAACAATCCACTGTACCAGTAGTTTGGCGAGGGGAAGCGGGTAAGGTTCAGCGATCTTGGTCCAGTGGATGTTGGAACGCGGCTGACGACCGCGAAGATGAATGTGAGGAAGACCCGAACGGCAGCAGACCTTGACTGACACGGCGGGGTCGTTCGACTTAGCGGGCGCACACTTGCGCTCTAGGCCGGGCGGCGGAAGCACCATAGACCAACCAACGAATTTTGTTCTCTTTTGCCAACGCATACCAAACATGCAGAAATCGCAGACGATCTCGATCCCTTTGGATAACAATCGATTCATCGACGGCTCGAGCCAGGCGAGGGACGACTGGGGATTCTCGGCGATGATGGGGATACCGAAACGAATGCAGCGGCGAATCATACTCACCATGAAATCGAACGTGGAGTTGCCTTCCCAGAGCTGGACGGCGTCACGACCAGAGAGCCCAAGCACACCACGGAGGGCGGATCGGGTCCTTAGAGGAGGGCGCCTAGCACGCGACCAAGTAGTACACGGAAACCCACCGATAATTCCGCGGATCTGCTTGCTCCTGATCCACCCGAAGACGATCTGCTGCACGGTGCGATTCGTAACGTCGAACTCAGGCCCCCGCAGCAAATCGAACCTCATGCATCCCACTCCCCCGATGCTTTCAAAGTATCTGGCGGCACGGCCCGAACCAGAGAACAGGTCCAGATATACAGTTGCCGAGCCAGCGTGTCGTTTAGCATATCGAAGGTGTGAATTGAGCCGTGCACGGATCTGCCTCGAGGTCACAGCTGCGGCACGAGGGCGCGCTGCAGCGGTAGAGTGGGGGGCTCCGGGGGCAACCGCACGCCCCAGAGGAAGGCCGCCAGGTCCTGATGGATGATGTTGCCGTAGCGGCGCACGGCGAGCGGCAGCTTCGTGGCCTCGTTGGCTACCCGCGCGTGCTTGCTGTACCGGCTGACGCTGGCATCGGCCTTCCAGCGCCCGCGACGCTTGATTTGCTCTGGGGTCCGACGCTTTGTGAGGCTGTCGAAGCTTGCGCCTCCGTGGCGCAGACAGTAAGGATGTGGGCGAAGCACCGACACCCCGCTGAGCTCCGCCAGAGTCCGAAAGTGCTCCGCGAACTGAAGCTGCGTGAAGTTCCAAAGGTTCCCCTGGCCGGCCCTGCGCTTCAGCTCGTTCAGCCTCGGCGCGATCTCCTCGATGATGTCCCAGTCCAGGGCCGCGCTCTCGTCGAACTCGCGGGTCTTGCTCCCGACGTTCTCCTCTGCCGGCGACAGCAGCAGCATCCAATGCCGTGTCGCTGAGCCTGCAACTGGTGCAACCAACTGCGGGCCCTTTAGCTTGATCAGCTCCGAAGGCCTGAGGTAACCGATGAAACAGATGAAGAGGGCGAGGCCCAGATCCTTCAGGCCCTGGGAGAGAGCTGCGCCGATCATCGCCATCAGTGCGACAAATGGGAGCGGAGCCCGGCTGCGGCCTGGCGCCAGCCGGCGAAAGCCCCTCAGCGCATGGCGAGCGCGAGTGGGGGCGGCCGGGCAACCCTTTCGGAGCTGCGGGTACCTGTACTCTAGCGCGGCCAGAAGCTTGGAGGCCGTGGGGTGATTCTCGCCCTCGAAGTAGAGGTGCTCCCAGTAGTCCAGGAGGGAGGTGTCCAGCTCTCCGTCCATCATCTCGCGGACGCCGACGCCCGCCCAGCTCTCGAAGGTGGCCAGGTAGGTGTCGTAGAGATCCGCTGTTGCGCCGCGCACGGTGCTGACCTCCAGGAAGAAGGCGCCCTGCTCTCTGCAGAGGTGGGCGCTCTCGAGGTGCGCCGCCCGCCGCCGCTGGCGTCGGCGCTTGCGCGCTGGCGCGCCGTCCGGCATCGCCATGTCCACCGGCAGCGGCTCGACTGGGCGGGCCTGGCTCGGGGCGCCTCTGGCAGGACCCTGCCTCGCGGCCCCGCCTCCTGGCCTCCTGATCGACGGCTCGTCGAAGCGCCGAGAGAGAGGAATCCCCCTCCGCGGGAGGCCCATGCCTTTCACACGGAGGTCTGGATGAGCCCGCACAGGCCCGCGGTCTTTAAGCCTAGATCCACGGTCGGCGAAGTTGATCTCCGAAGGGACCCAACGATAGAAAAACTTACACCCAGTAGCAATCGACAAGGCGCCTGACTCTCTGCATGTCTGGTTTAGCTCGGGATTTGCGGCACGACCTTTAGACAGAGCAAGGACGAGAGACATATTGTCCCCGAGAAAGAGATGATCCTGCCCATGATTTTCGAGGGATCGCAGCACGTGGCGGACTCCCACGATCGCCCCGCGCCCTTCTAATCGGAGAATGCGCTCATCAGCTCCCCACCGGCCACGAACTCGCAACTGCCAGTCATCCTGCTGCCCGGCAAGGTCGAGGGGGATCTCCTCGAAGATGCGACCGCCAATGGGCAAGCCCTCCTCCGAGTTGGTGTCGTCGATCTTCTCCCCATCGAGAGCACTAGCGGTCACGGCGACCCCGTAAGCCTCCAGTGCGTGACGGCGAGCCGCCACAGCGTCCTCCACCAAGAAGCGCCACCCCTCGGCAATGCGGCAGGCGCGGCTAGCCTCGGCCACAGAGACCTCACGCTGCACCACGCCGAAACCGCCGAAGTCGGCGCCGTCCTCCCCAGTGGATGCATCGGTAGCGGTGATCACAGGGCTGCAAGGTCGCCGTGTGTCGGTAGAGGCGAACACGATCAATGAACACATCATGCGAAGTTCTGCCCTCGCAGAGTTCCACAGCTTCCACCTGGACTCGCCTGCCTCCTCGATGAAACGGTAGCAGGCATGAGGCAGCGAGAGGAGCTCCCTTCTCATCAGACCAGCCCAAGTGAAATGAGCCACCAGCAGCTGGAGCTCCTTCCCCGTCAGGCGACCAAGGCCCAGCGCGTGCAGGCAGGCCAGACGGTCGCGCCACAAGCGCTTCGGGGTGACCGAAATGGTGCCTGAGGTAGAGTCTATCACAAGGCCAGTGAACTCCTGCTGGCCGCCCGCGAGTTCGACGCCCTTACAGGCTAGCCCCGCGCGCTCTAGAGCCGAGAGGACCTCCTGGCTCTGGTTGTCGACGCTGGACTTGTCCTGACCGAAGACGCCGACGTTGTCCACATAGACGGCCGGCCTTGGTGGTGCTCAGCTCGAGCTCCCGAAAGTTGGGGCTCTCGCGCTTGTCCAGCAGCATATCCGAGTCCACGAAACCAGCGGACATTGTGGCCGTGCTCACCATCTCCTGACAGAAGTACAACGACCAAGACCAGCCCATAGCAAGCACGCATAGGCGCGGGGTGGCCCTCCTGCCCGAGATGCCCTGGGCAGCAGTAGGATTCACTGCACGCAAGGCGTCAACGTCGACAGGCGGCAGCCGAAAGAACTTACTGAGCTCAGGAGGTGTGCGCACTCTGAAGAAGGCGTTGTTGACGTCCATCTGAGCGAGGTAGAGAGGGGCGTCAGCCCTGGTGCGGACGGCGGCCCACGCCGCTGGCGATGGTAGGTGCGTGTGCTTCGGCTTCACAAAAAGGCTGTTGACGCACCGAGTGTCCAGGATAAGTCTAAGAGAGCGATCCTTCTTCAACACAAAGAAGACTCCGACGGTCGGCTCCTCATAGTCACCAACCTCCAACAGATTCGCGCTGAACAACGATGAGCAAAATCTAGCGTACTCCCACTTACTGTGAATTAAGGCAGAGTCCGAATGAGGCTTCTCGGGGACACTGTCATCAGAGGCCGGCTCCTTCGCCAAGAGGAGTTCCTGCCATCGGCACCAGAAGTCACGCGCAGCACCACGTAAACAAGCACTGCCGTCGGTCAGGCCACCCTCATCAGGCAACGAGACCAACCCTGGCTGGTACCTCGCCCTCGGGGCGTCGACCAGGTCGTAACCAGGTCCCGCTCGGGCGCCGCAAAGCTCATGAAAGGCTTCCGCGGAAGTGCAAGACGGAGGGCCAGCTGATGCCACCAGATCGGAGATCCGCTCCAAAATCTTCAGCTGGCCGACCGACGGCTTGAAGACCGTCGATTCGAAGTCCGAGCAGCCGTGCATGCGGTTGAGGCTCCTCGTCGTCTCGAAACGCCAATTAATACTCGCGTTGGCGCGTCGACGGACCGCGCGGCAAGCGGCCGAGCTGTCCAAGAAGTCGTTGCCACTGGAATCAGGAAATGGAAGAGGAAGCGGGAAGAGCTCCCGGGGCACGTTCATGGGGAAGCCCACGAAGTGCTGGCTGCGTCACGCAGCCCGCTCTATCAGAAACCCAGCAAGGTCGAGCAGCCAAGCCGGGCACACAAGCCGAGGTACACTGGAGCGGCTACCCCGCCACTTCACCTCTGCCACCGCCCTTCTTGGCCTTGCGCTTGGCGGCCACGGCGTCGGCAGTGGTGTCGCCAGAGCCAGAGGCGGCGTGCTGGCGAACGGGGCGAAGCAACGAGCGCTCCTCCATGAGCTTCCTCCTCTCCTTCAGCACGGACCCTTCCTTCTGAAGCTGTGACGACGCGAACTCCTCGAGCTCTGGCGCCACCATCACCTGGCCCCTCGTGGCGTTCGTGCCCATGTATAGGTACTCGTCGGCGCCATAATCGTTGGCCGCGTCCACCTGCAACAGGCGCCCCTTGTGCTTCAGCTCCGATAGCTGGGCCCGCCTAAGCAACAATTCCATGCAAGCGAGCTCCCCCACGTTGAGCTGATCATAGGAGATCGCATTCTCGAGGCAGCGCATCGCGACCTCATGCTCTGCGACTCCGATGTCCCCCGCCCCCAATCCAGCATCTCTCTTCCATCGAGTGTGGCGGGCGCGAGGGTGGCCGTCCGTCTGGAGGATATAATTGCAGCACCACTGCACCGTCCGAGGTCCAGAAAGCGGCCATCCACCCCAGTCCGAGCTGGAGATCTGGTTCACACCCTCTGGAAAATCCTTGAAGCGAATCCCATTCCCGTCACGCGTCACGGTCAGCACTCGAGCGTCGAGCTCGCGGGGCGTAGCTGTGCCCCCGACCTCAGGGCGCTCCTCGAAGTCGTCAAGGTCGCCCATGCCGCGATCCTCATCGTTGAAGCACTTGAACAGCACATACTCGCCACCAGAGCGACCCAGTCCGAGGCTCTCCGCCAACATGTGCTGGCCCCACTCGATGGCTCCGACATCTCCTCGAAGGCCACCGCGTGAGGAGGCGAGAGCCCTCCAGGCGCCGCGGCCAGGCTTGGGGGGCACTCCCGAGCCCCCGGCAAACCCTGCGGCAACCAGCTGATCCCCGCCGTCAGCAATCGGGATGTCACGGCGGTCGCCCTCCTCAGCGTCGCACTCACCAAGGATCCCGTTCATCTCAACGAAGGTCGGCAGGCCGTCGAATCCGTGCACGTGAGAGAGGCAGGACCCTGACCCCACCAGGCCCCCCTCCACTTGAGAGCCGTTCTTGTGGAGGGCTATGAGCCCTGAGAAGGGACCGATCTCCAACGCCTCTGGATACACGTCCATGTCAGGCGTGACGATCCACCGCAAATCCTCGAGGTGGGGGAGGGGGTCGGCTCCAGCGCACTGACTGTAGATCTTCCTGCTCGCTCGACGAACCAGAAGTCTCTCGTGCCACTCGCGTTCTCCTTGATACTTCACTAGGACGCGTGCCCCTGAGGTCAAGAAAGAGGACTCTAGCCGCCTGCCAGACTCCATAGACACAGCCACAGGAGCACCACCCGATGATTATTCCGATCAGCAGGCGCACAAAGCCCAGTGTCGGGACGCCCCCGAAGACGGCGTGCTGCAAGGCGCAGTCCGCGAAGTCCTCGAATACTCCTGGCGACACCCACGAGGCGGCCCGGCTGACCAGCACGGTCAGCGGCGATCCAGCACCAAAGAACTGCCGCATGCGGACCGCGCGAGCGAAGCGAGCTTGAGCCAAAAAGTCCGCGGAGCCCCAGAGAGACTGGAGAGACGAGCACAGGACTGGGCGCGTCTAGGCACCACTGGACAGACGAGGTGTTTCACCCTCTGCGGCTCAAACGCATTGGCAAAGAAAACCGTTCTGAGAACATACTATATATATATATATATGTGGCGGGCGTGGTCTCGCAAGCCCGGCTGGGCCAGCACATTTTGCTCTCTACTTTAAAAAAGAAACACTCTCTCTCTCTGTCTGTCTCTGTCTCTGTCTCTCTCTCTCTCTCTCTCTCTCACTCTCGCTCTCGCTCTCTCTCTCTCTCTCTCTCTCTCTCTCTCTCTCTCTCTCTCTCTCTCTCTATATATATATATCTCTCTCTCTCAATCTCTCTCTCTCTCTCTCTCTCTCTCTCTCTTTCGCTCGCTCTCTCTCTCTATCTCTCTCTCTCTCTCTCTCTCTCTCTCTCCCTCTCTCTCTCTCTCTCTCTTCTCTCTCTCTCTCTCTCTCTTCTCTCTCTCTCTCTCTCTCCTCTCTCTCTATCCCTCCCTCTCTCTTTCTCTCTCTCTCTCTCTCTCCTCTCGCTCTTGTCGCTCGCGCTCGCTCTCTCCATCGCTCCCTCTCTCTCTCCTCTCTCTCTCTCTCTCTCTCTCTCCTCTCTCTCTCTCTCTCTCTCTCTCTCTCTCTCTCTCTCTCTCTCTCTCTCTCTCTCTCTCTCTCTCTCTCTCTCTCTCTCTCTCTCCTCTCTCGGCTGGCCCCGCGCCCATCAGATCCCCGCATCCTGCGGGGGCAGTCTGGCAGTGAAGCGGATCTGGACACAGAATCCTTGTCAAGGGAGCTCGACTGATTGAAAAACAGTTTCCATAGTTCGGGGCTACCAGAAGAAACAGCAGAGAGCGCCTTAATTGCACAGGAATCAAACTACAGTGTCTGTCCAACATGCTTCCAATTGTGATAGGGCTGAAATGTGAGGCCTCGCAAATAGGCATACGAAAGACAAACCACTGTAAAAGGAAATCTGTGCAAGTGAAGCAGTTTAGGAGCAAACTCAGGTGCGTCGACTCCAGCGGGGCCAATTTCAGGTACGCGGACAGGCATCAGTGGCCCGATGGCAGGGGGCCTCGCAGCGGCGGCAAAAGAGGATTGGACGCAAGCGGGCTCGGCGGTGGTGGCGTTGGTGCACCAGTGGCAGTGGTGACCGCACTAATGGCGGCAGTCGTGGCAGCGGCGGAAGTTGCGGCGGGGGCGCAGAGGGGCGAGGGTAGCTGCGGCATTGGTGGCCCCGAGGCGGTGTGAGCAGTGGCGGTCGCCGCTGCGTTTGTAGCGGACGTGGCAGTGGAGGGCGCGGTGGCGGCTGCAGCGGTAATGGATGTGCGGTGGAGGCAGTCATCGACGCGGCTGTAGCAATGTGGTCGCACTTGCAGTGGCAATGGTGGCAGCGGGGCTTGGGGCAGCTATGCAGCAAAATTGGCGATGCTGGCAGCATTGCTGGGGTGGTGGGAGATGGGGGCGGCGGGTGGTGGCTGTGGCGGGTGCAACGGTGGTAGCAGCCGCAGCACCACCTGCGCCCCCCCCTCAGAAAATGTACTGTTCCTCAACCGCGGGCGTTGCTGTCCGCTGCCCTGTTGGCCCCCGTGGCCGTCAGGCTCCTCCAGGGCCCAGGGCGCCACACCGCGCAGCCCCCGAGGCTACCCTGGATGCCTGGGGCTGGCGGCGCCAGGGTCCCACTAGGCGGCGGAGAGGGAGGGAGAGGGGGGGGGCGCCTGCTGTCTCGTCTGTGCGGGGGTTCGGCCCGATTCGCGCCAAGCACCCCTGCTCTGGCCGCCCCCAAGGAGCGCCTCAGGGACACTGTGGCCCCAGGAGGGAGCCAGAAGGCCCCCTGAAGGTTCCCAAAATGTGGGAGAATTGCTACTGCAGGGGAAATCACAATAGAAAGGATTCTGTGCAAGTTAAGCGGCTTGTCCTCCAAAAGAGCTTTGCATATTCAGGAATTCTGGAATTTAGGCAAATAGCCGCCGTGTGCGGGGGACGCGCTGCACAGAGCCAGGAAATCCCAATTTGCGGCACCTGGGGGCCTCCTGATGGCCTCCTGGGGCCCCCCTGCACGGTAGGCGCCTGGCACAGGGCCACCCTGTCAGACGCAGATGCACCCTGACCCTCAGGTGTGCCTCAAAGGCCTTGAGGACCCCACAGGCCCTGGCGCCGCAAGCGCCAGGCCCCCTCGAAAACCCCCAAAACGCCGAGGCCCTGGCTTCGGATACCCTGGAGGCTGCAGGGGCGCGGGCCTGAAGCCTCTATTCCCCTGACGCCCGGAGAACCTCGTGAAGCTTCAAGTCGGTCTGAAGCCTCTATTTCCTTGACGCCTGTTGAAGCTCGTGAAGCCTCTATTCGGCCTGAAGCCTTTATTCCCCTGGCGCCCGGTGAAGCTCGTGAAGCCTCTATCCGGCCTGAAGCCCCTATTGCCCTGACGCCCGGTGAAGCTCGTGAAGCCTCTATTCGGCCTGAAGCCTCTATCCCCCTGACGCCCAGTGAAGCTCCTGACGCCTCGCAGGGTTCGTGCCCCAGGGGAGGGCAAATCTATAAGCAAAGACGTAAAACGCGAAGATTCGTGCCCCTGGAAAGGGATCGTGCCCCAGGAGAGGGCCAATCACGGTAAGGATTCGTCTCCCATGATACGGCTACTCTATCAGCACGCACGTGAAGCACGAAAGATTCGCGCCCAAGGAAAGGGTCAAGCTATAGGCACATACGTAAAACACTAAGAGGATTCGTGTTCCAAGAGAAGGCCGATCTATTGGCACATACGTTAAACACAAAAGGATTCGTGCCTCAGGGGAAGGCCAATCTATATGCACACATGTAAGACACGAAGGATTCGTGCTCCAGGAGAGGGCGAACCTATAGGCACATACGTAAAGCACGAAGGGCTCGTGCCCCAGGAGAAGGCAAATCCACAGGCGCATACGTAAAACACGTAGGGCTCGTGCCCCAGAGGAGGGCAAATCGATAAGCAAACGCGTAAAACACAAAAGATTCGTGCCCCTGGAAAGGGCCAATCTATAGGCATACACGTGAAACACAAAGGACTCGTGCCCCAGGAGAGGGCCAACCAATACGCACATGTGTAAAACACAAAGGACTCGCGCCCCCCAAACAAGCAAATCTCGAGGCATCACGTAACACGCTGAGGATTCGCGCTCCATGATACGGCCAATATGTTTAAGCACGCACGTAAAACACTAAATATTCGTGCCCCAAGAGTAGGCCAATCAATAGGCACATACGTGAAACACAATGGATTCGTGCCCCAAGAAGGCCAATCTATTGGCACATACG